TGGAAAGACACGTAAACGCATTGGTGAGCTTTGTTTGTTTTGGGGTTTTTTTTGTGCTGCTTGAACAAACTGCATGACTTTTTTGTTCAAATATTTCTTTTCGTTTGCTTTTTCATTTTGTTGTCATTGGTTCTTTTTTTTTTTTTTTAAGTTTAACACCAGCACTAAGTTATGAATGCTGGACAAAGGCACTGACACATGAAAAATACATTTAAAAAGGCTACGGAAAAAATATCAGCACTTGGCCACATCAAGAAAAATGCTAAATGGTGATTTATATGGTGGTATTTTTGTTCTTACACAGATGACAAAGTACTGCAGTGACTATGGGAGGTTGAAGTTCATTTGACTAAAGACTAAAATCTGACAAAGACCCGCCTGCACTTAGCACATGTTTGAGTTGGAAAGCCAGCATAATTTATTGATGTTACAGGTCAGTTTTCACCAGTGCTCTGAAAAGGCCAAAGGTCAAATTAAGTGCTTCACACTAATCTGTGTTTTGAATGTTTTTCCGGAGGTGAAATGTAGATTGTTCGTAAAGTTGAACACGAGTATATTTTCCCTCGTGAAACTTATGGAAGGCCAAATATGTAAGAGTCTGATTCACTATGATATTATCATTCTATTGCTCTGGATTCTTTCAGATTCAGAGTCATTCATGTTAGCAGCAGGTGTGTATGTGATGGGCGGGGTCATTTGTTGCTCCTTTTGATTTGACTCTATGATGTCATCCTGAGCTTCAGGTTGCACTTCCGCCGTGCAAACAGTAACGTCGGACACAAACGTCAATAAACGGCAGCGGATATCGGATATTTGCCAGCATCTCAGGCGGAGCTGGATGTCAAACATACCCATCAAAGAGTTCCTGTTCAAACACCTCTCCGATTTTCCCTTTCCTGATCATCTGGCGAGACATAACATCATAGAAGCTGACGACATTTCAAAGATTGTGCAGCCAAGCAAATGTATTGTACCTGTGAACTTCAGATTTTTCACCACTTCGCTTTGACACGGCTATTCAAAGTAACTGAAGATAAAAGAAAATGGACTAAGGGACCCAACACAATGCCAGCAGAGAACTAAAAGGCACTTGCGCAGCTTACTTGTGAGGTTTAATGATGTTGTTTGCTCTTTCTTTTCCGTGAAGTGATTTTACTGTCTGTATAAACAAGGTCAATCACATGCTCAGTCTGCCTGAACACAGTATATTCCTAAATAAATTATGTTTTCTGCAAACGTTACTGGTTTGAACATTGAAAAGGGCCATTTGGCTGTGTGAAAAGTGAGCATTCAGGGGTCATGAATGACTAACATAGGAGAGGAAGTGGGTAGTGTCCTTAAAATGACATTAGTTGTTGAAACATTATGACAGATACTATGACTATATCTTAACCAGGAGCAACACGCAATTTAAAGGTTCCACTCCTATATAGATCTGAGTTTTTGTCCTAACCAACCCTTTTTTATTGGTGCTAGTCCAGCTGGTAAACCAACATAGCCACATGAAGCTGGACCACCATCAGCTTTCCAATGAAACTGGTTGACCAAGCAAGTCTTGCTGGTTAAAAATGGACATTCTGTCATAATTTACTCATAATCATGTCATTGCAAACCTGTATGAATTTCTTTCTTTTGCAGAACATAAAAGAAGGCATTTTGAAGAATGTTGGTAGCCAAGTTTCGATTTCCATTAACTTTCATTGTGTGGACAAAAAATACAATGGAAGTCAATGGAAATCGAAACTCTTTGGTTAGTGTGGGTAAATTTGTAACGGGAAACTTGTTGCACCTGGTAAAGTCATTTGGCATTGAGAGCAACAGAGTTCGCCACATATTGCAAATTCGATAATAAAAAAAAAACACATTAGTTTACCATTTTCTTAATAATTCCATGTGGACCACCTTCAGCTTAAGTTATGCTTTAGACAGATGAGGATAAATATGCATAGCATTTATTAGAGTTGTTTATTTTTAAGGCGCAATTACTATCTTTATCGAACAAAGGAACTTGGAGTTATTGGAAAAGCACTATCAATGAGTGGATGAAAGGTTTTGCCAGGTAGGACGTGTTCCTAGACCTTTTGTTGGTCCTGGAACAACTCTGTCTAACTGGGCCATACCTTGGCCAAGTGTTCAAGTCTGCAATTGCATATTTGCAAATACATTTCTAACTTAACCCATAAAGTCTGATAGGATTGCTTGGATTGTTGTTCCAGGACCAACAAGGATGTACTTGGCAATATAGCGATCACAGAATGTGTGTAATTATTTCATCCTTTCGTAATTTATAGGTGTTACAATGTGTGAAAATCCATCTTACCCCTCTGATGGACATATATGTGGCCTGTAACTCAAAAGTTTCCCATCCTGTTGCTCTCATTGGGTTAATGAGTGTGGATAAATCGGATCAGCAGACCTGTGAAATCATGTTATTTTGGAAGCATCTGTTGCCTCCAGCCAGAAGAGAAGCACCATTTATTTCTCCATTTCCATTATTTTTTATCTCCTTTTCTTTTTGGGGTGACAACTGCAAAAGGGGTATGAAATCTTTCCTCTTGTTTCTCCCTTTCCAAATTCCGAATTTTCATCCTTATTATGGCAAGAATGAGACAGAAACCCCTGTATTTATACATTAATGATGGCAGAGACAGAACTGGACAGGAATGTGTATAAATGGAGGGAGATTCCACATCATACCCATCCCAGTGTAAGTCCATTTTGTGTCCTATTAAACCTCATTTCAAGTGCAGAGGAAAATTCTTCATGTTTTATTCAAAGGTGCTAGTGAAGCTCTGCAGCTGCGATTCTTGCTTAAACCATGCATCTGCAGTCACTTCCTGTTTGAGGTTACTTCTTAGAATCTTGTGTTAATTATTAAATTATATTATTTCCCTCTTTCACAGAAGGGTAATAGGCACCATTTTGAGATCAAACGGCTGGATAAATGCTTTTGATGGCAATTATAGAGTAGGGTTTTACCACTGGATATGAGCCCATTGATCAGCCCGTTTGCTAACACCATAAAGAGCATATCAGGAGGTAATCACCTTTTTCAGAAGTGTAGCGAATTTGCTCATAACTGGAGTCTTGTACAGTAAGAAAGTTATTTCCCTTAACCAGGAAATTAACGTTCTTAGAATTGACAAGACAGTTGACCCTGAGTGGTCAGCTAAATATCTACAGCGGATCTAAAATATGAATAGTTAATTATAACTAGTTATGGTTAATTATTCATATTTCCTGTTGTGAGCTAAATTCGCTACAGAAGTTATGGGAAGTTTTTGACCACTTTGGGGTTTTTTTATAAGCAGGATTGAAGGGAAGACTGACTATAAAAACAGCTCTAGTATATACAAAACATACATATTCCCAGGTTCATAAACTTTAGGTGGGCCATTTGGATTTGGATCTTACATGAAATATTCACTGTCGTACTTGGATGCTATTGGATAATTTGGATGTTATTTAGCTTGTTTTTAGTTATTTTATCTTTTTGAATCCTGGCTTGATATATGGTTGGACTGTGTGTGTGTGTGTAGGATGCAATGAGAAAGTTAGAATGACTGAATGTTTAGATGCACTATATTTTTTTCTTCACTGTCTGGATGAGGGAGATTTGGCATGCAAAATATATTGTACAGAATAAGCTGTTTGTCTCTTTTTGTGTGTAATAGTGGGAATTTTAACACATTTTGCCTTTCAAATCTGTGTAGGACTTAAACCAAAAGATGTGTTTTAAAAATAGCGAGTGGAAATAAAGGTCTATTCAGACATACATGTTTATTTTTTATAACGTAAAGATGTTTAAAGGGCCCGCATTTCATTGTATGCCAGTTTGCAAATATGACCACTGGAGTCATATGTCCCTGTGAATCACCCGGCTGAAGAGGATGTATGTGGTTGGGTTTGTCCCATTTGTTTAGTGTGGTTATTGCGTCAACATCAATCCACTTGGTAACTGTAACCACAGCTGCAATCAAACAGAAATTTTTTTTTTTTTAATTCTCAGACAAAAGGTGATTATTGTTACTGTTGGTCTTGTTTTAGTTAATTTTTTTATTATTGTTTTTTTTTTACATATAATATTTGTTAATTTAAAATGTTTATTTTTGTGTTTTCCTGGGGTCTGGATTACTTCATCAATATTATATACCAGTGCTGAATCCAAGGACTTTTAAAATGCCTAAAATGGGATATATTGTATTATAATAAGTGTTTAGTGCCAAGGGTGTACTCTGTGATTAAATATGTATATTCTGTATTAGACAATATATAAAAAAGAAACAATCACCTGAAGGAGCTCTTGAGCTGTCAATGATCATCTGGCTTTGGCTAAAATTATTTGTCTTTGGAGGAAAAAATATATAATAAGAAGATGACCTGATGACAGAATTATATTATTTTCAAAATAAAAGGAATTAAAGTCAAACAAACCAATTTGTGAAATTATTTATATTTCTTTAAATCTCACCATCTATGTTTACTATTAATATAAATTATATAATATATTGATTGTATATTATAATAGATATTGTCATTGATAATAAAAATAATACTATTTAATAGTTATACAAATTGTTAATATAAGTGTAATTAATGTGTATAAAAACTTGTGGATATATGATATGCAGCTTTAAATTAATATAAATGGACGCCAAATACAATCTCAATATATTAGACTACAGTTGTGGATTTGGTTGTAAATTCCATACTGGTCCTTTAATCCATACTGGTCCTTTAAGAGGCAATGGGGGACTGAGTTTACATTGAAATGGGCGGAGCGCAACGCTCATGCTGATACAAGGAGGCGGGGCGCTGCGGGGGCGGGGTTGTGGGCGGGGCGTCGACACAGGACAGTGAACGCTCGAGCTGCATTAGTGCGCCATCGCGCTTTGAACAGTCAGTACGTGAAGACGCGCTCGTCAGGATTCCGTACTATTTAACAACTTTTGATTATCTATAAACGCGTGATTGCAACATAAAGCTGTTAAAGTTTGAAGGATATTGGCAACAAAGCCTGTGTTTTGTTATTCACTTCTCTTTTGTTTGAAGTGTAATTCCATTGAACTTGGTCCATTGTTGTTGGATGAGAAGCTCAACTTGGCGTTGAGGCTCCTGGGATCCAATACTACGAGCAAACAGTGGTAAGACTTTACTCTTTACATAAATTCATTTCTTTGTGCGACATATTCCAGAAGGTCCCACCAGAACGTAGAGATACAATGAAGCATTTGCTCTTCAAGTGTCTCACAATGATAGGAGTTTTCATACAGACCTTTCTTCTATCCTGCAGTTTAAATCAATGGCCAGTCAGACAGGTATCTCATTCATTTGAATGTCAGATTGGCTTCACAGCTCCAGGTGGTCCCAAAGAGAGTCTTAGGCCAACCTGCTAGATGGATGGATAAATGCAGTGTGTTCTTTTTCCATTCTTTTTTTCCTCATTTTCTCTGTCCTCCTAATTCTCTGCCCCATCATTTTGCAGCCCCACTCCCTCTTTTCTGTCACTTTTAAAATGGGTTTTCATTCATTTTTCAGCACTTTACACAGATACTGTAATAAAGAGCGACAGTGTCTTCACCCCAAAATGAAAAACTTGTCATTATTAGTAGAGGTTGACCGATGTATCGGTTTTGCCGATTAATCGGCACCGATAGTTTTTTGCTGGAACTATCGGTTATTGGCAAAAATCCATGCCGATAGTTTTCCGGGTTGCGTCCGTTGCTGGAACGGCTGAGAAGGGTCTGCTGTCATTATACAGTACGAGAGTGGTCTCTAGTAGTTGAAATCACTGACAGCACATGCTATTTGTTTAGGCACGTGATACTGCACGCTGAACAGAGCAGGAAACTTCAGACGCGGATTTAAATGCAGCCGACAGAAAATCCTGCCGCGACACAGAGCGCCATTCACATAGTTTTCCATTAAATTACATTATATTTGTCCCGAATTGTTGTTAATGCTTCATTTATAGAGCTATAATATAG